TACATGAATGAAATATTAAAAAGGAACTAATACATAAAACGTAAAAATATAGAAATGTGTTTATTTTTTTATTTTTTAAGAGAAAATGTGTTAATTTTTTTATCAACAATATATATATAAAGCTATATTCTATCGATTTTGATCACTTTCTCTCAGTTTTTTAGTGTTTTTTTATCAATCATTAATTTTGCTAGCTTGTTATATTGGCTCTTTGACAATTTTGATTTTATTTATGTTTATTAACCTTTACCCTTTTCCGATTGATAATATTTTCTACAAGATTTTGCTGCCATGGTAAATTGCCACATATCAAAACCATTACGTTCAAGTTGCTTTTAGCCTTCTACTACTACTAAAGACGAATAATTTGTCCACACTAGTTTCATGGCTTTAAGAAAACTTTTAGAATATTAAACTATAATGTACGCATTTATTAAATATATGGTTCATTGCACCCATTGTAACGGTTAATTCCGACGAATCTACAAAACTTAAATTATAACTATAAATTAGGCTAATAAATAATGACAGTAGTCACAAAGCACAGCACAACGTTGTGTCATGTTGGGTAAAGTTAAGAGAACTATTAAACAATTTTACACCTATGAAATCCATCAAGACACATGTATGCACTTGCATCATGACATATCTAATTAGTGACATAAAATGACAATAAATTTAACGGTAAGAGATAGATTATGGTATATCTCATTTTTTATATAATTTCGGAATTTATAACAATCAAAACTGTATATTTCTTCTATGCAGCAAAAAATTATCAAAAGAGTTATCAATCTAACTCCGACAATGGAGTAGAGATATAACATGCGTCATGTGATTATATATCCTCATTATTATCAAAATTTACAATTCAAATATTCCTGCTTGTGAAGTGTTTGTACGCCACATGATCAAGGGTTCCAAATTATGATTAAGGAAAAGGTATATTCATAAAACCTTATTATCGAACATTATTCGAATAATATAGTATTGATAATACTTCTTCCGTTTCAAAATATAAAGCGTTTTGGAAAAAAATTTTTGTTTCACAATATAAGTCGTTTTCAAGTTTTTATGCAAATTATATATTACTTTAATATTTTATGATTATTTCTATTATGCAGTCTCTTTTATGATTGGTTGAACGTTTAAAAAATAGAACTTTTTAATCGGCGTGTTTTTAGCTAAAACGCCTTATATTTTGAAACGAAGGGAATACTAAAGGATGATTGATGATGATTAAATAAGAGTCCCAATAATTAATATTAATATGGTAGAGAGTGGACAGTAGACTCCAGCTAAGCGATAAAGCCAATTTGGTGCGCCTAATTATTTGATTAGTGCAACGCAAAGCCTCCGCTCTCGGAGTCTAATCATCTCTCTATTTATTATTCATCGAAATTCGTATTCTCAACAATAATATCAACGTTACTCTTATTTATAATCTATAATCTAATCATACTTTATTCTTAAATAGTGAGTTTGATTTCGTCCTATGTCGTATCCTAAATCTATACTCTTTTTTTCTTTTTCTTTTCAAGTAATTAAAATGAATATTACCACCATTCTTTATTGATGGCTTGATGGCTTTAATAGCTATTATGACTAGTTTTTTGCGTTATATTAAATAATAATTTAAGTTATGTCTAGGTATATATTTGATAACTAATATTCCATCCGTTTTATAATATAAGTTGTTTTATCTAAAAGCATGCAGGTTAAAAAGATACACTTTTAAAAAGTTCAGTCAATCGTAAAAGAAACTGCATATTATAAATAGTTATAAAATATTAAAATAATATATAATTTGTATAAGAACTTGAAAACGACTTATATTGTAAAACAAATTTTTTCTCCAAAACGACTTATATTTTGAAACGGACCGAGTAGTATTTTTAAAATAATTTGTTAAGACAGAATTGTTTTGCTCTAATTGGGAGAACACGAGTTCAGAATCGTAAATATTGCAAAAATTGTTGAAATATATGAAAGTGGCTTAAACGTTTTGTAAGAGTGAATTAAGGAATGGAGCATCAACTTCATTTTTGTATGACAACTGGTCGAATCTCGGTGCGTAATGGATATGGCTGGTTCTAGAGGCGTCATTGACTTGGGGATTGGAAGGAATGCTTCTCTGGCTAATGCATGGAGAACTCGAAGAAAAAAAAGACACCAGGTCAAAATCTAAACTTGGTAGAGAATGCACTAGAACAGAAGTGGCAAAGTAGATATATGCTAGCTGAGGGTCTCTATTATGGCCAGATAGAGGGGACTCTTATAAAGCTACATTCTTTTTTTGATAACCCAGTATACAGACCACACAGTGATCTGACTAGCCCACTGGGCCTAAGCCCGCGTCACAGGGATTTTTAAGCCTCCACTTAAGGGCCCCCTGATAAACTGGTGGTCTGGGGCGCCTGAGCAAGTCCGCAGGTAAATTCCCAGGTGGCCACAGGAGTGAGAGAGCGAAACTGCGTCTGGGGAGGATCGATCCCTGGCCTAGACCAACAGGGCGATCCTTCCAACCAAACGAGAACCACTCGCCAACCACCATGTGGTTTATAAAGCTACATTCGCAACGAAAGACATTTGGAACCGCATTCGAATAACATCACATCCGCAATTAACGCTCAATGATTCTGGCTACAAGCTATAATAGATACGAGCTATATCTCCAAGTATGGTTTGCCTCTAGAAGTTAATTGTCATCTTCATGTGTTATTACTTATTACCTACTCAAATTTATTCAAAAACATTGGCATTTGATGTAACAGACACTAACTTTTCTTGAATAAAATTTAACATTACACTAGGATTTAACCCGCGGTACACCGCGGGACAAAATTGTATTTTATGTATTTTATATAATAATATATAATTTATTGGATTTTAATTTGATATTAAATAAAAAAATTCATTTAATTATTTTATATTATAATTAATATCGTCGAAATATGTGTACTTAGAAGAGTTGTAGGTGTAGAAATAAAATAATTAATTATTTTATATTATAATTAATATCGTCGAAATATGTGTACATTATATGCAAAATTTTTTTTATTATTTTATTAATTATATGTATTTTATATAAATTCCAAATAAATTACTATAAGATCATATAAAAGTGAAAGAAGAATCATACATTAATTTTTAAATTAGGTAGAGATGTTTTAGGAAAATTTAGAAACAAAATCAATTCATATTTGGAAGCCATAGTTTCTAAAAGATTTTTTCGAATATATTTTGTAATATTAATTAATAGATAAACATTTATGATAATGGCATTCTTTGTAAATACTTAGCAACTCTAGGATTTATTTAGTAAGTGTACTCCAAAAATGTATATATAGAAGATTAAAAAGATGATAACCTATTTTTAAACTAAAAATTGTATGTGTTATTATTAATTATTCATTTTATATATCATTTTTATTGTAAGTTATATTTACAAATTTAAATTAAATTTTTATTTTTAAATTGGTATGTATATTAATGCCATTTACTGATGCTTATTGTTTTCTGTCGAGCTTGCACATCAAAAGTGTGCTTCTATTTCATACAAACCATGAAGGTCGTTTATTTAACAATAAGAAAAGCAACGAAGGTTTTTTTTTAATGTCAAAAGGTAGTTGTCATGTAAATATAGCACTGGAATCATGTAACCCATTCAAGAAATGAAAATTTATATGCTTAACGCTTCATGCCACCCATGTCAATTGTAACAAAGATTGGTTCGTAATTAGTAGAATATTACAATACATGATATAACTTTAAACTAGGATTTGACCCCGCGGTGTACCGCGGGGTAATATATATATATATATAGTTATAAATTTATTATATTGTTGTATTAATTTTTGATGTTTTATTGGTATAAATTTATGTTTGATTTTGGGTACACTGAGAATCAATTTTTCTTTAACTATAAATTTTAATTGTAAGTTATATTTGATATGTTAATATTGTTTGTTATGTTTAGTGTTTAAGATTATATAATTATATTTTGATTGTTAATTCTAGAATTTCACTTGTGGTATACCTTCCCATATTAACATCAACCATAACCCGTGCTTCGCCCGAGTCTTATGTGTTGTTAATATATGCGAAATTTTGTTATCTATTAGTATAGATTTTGGTTGAGAATTTTTGTGTGGTATTGAGTATAATATTTTTAATTTGAAATATAGTGGTAGAACTGAATTTTGTGTTTTAATTCCAAGCCAAGTAATATACAATGTGTTTATATTGTAAAATTTTATTGGAGTTATGAAGTGCATATGTTAATCAAGTATAAAACTCATTTTAGTGTTGGTCGTTGTTACCATTCTCTTCTCATGTTAGACACTGCGGGTTAGAATTTAGATGGGTCTGAACATTAGTCGACTAACCTGGTAATACACTACATTTAAGAAATTTTATTTGACTCTGTCATTGTATGTTAGTTACAAACAAACATGTATTTAATTTGAAATAATATGAAAGGATTGTATTTATATCTTAAATTTAAACATATAAATCACTCTTATAAAGTAATGGAGATAAGAAAATAGAGAGTATGCTATTTGTAATATATGAAAGTGGATAAAGTAGTAAATTGAAAATATGTAGATGAAAGTGAAACCATCAAAATCCTATGTTACAATAAGTAGAAAAAAAAACTTAAGCCAGAAATCTCAGTTTCACAATAATCTATGGGGGTGTTATTAGTTTGTTAATTTGTAAATCCATATAGAATTTGAAAATTTCTATTAATTATGAAATCAAGATATATGGATTTTGAAATAACATGTGTTTACCCATGGATTTGAATCCTTCTATTTTTCTCTTTCAATTCCATTCAATTCCATTTAAAACATAATTTGGATTCTCAAATCCAAAAACAAATGACTAAACGAATAACATAAGATTTTAACTAGTATTTATAAATCATAGAACCAATAACACATGAATTTAATTAGGATTTTAAAATCAATGATTGAATAACAAATGATTTTTGTTTGGATTTCTAATTCCATATAAATCTATGAACCAATAACCCCTCATATATCCTTGCTGAAGAGTGTAATGGGGCTTCCTCTTCTTCTTCATAGCTTCTGTTAGCTTCTACAACCCAAATAAAAATATATCAAGAATCAGAAACCAAATTCTAATTCAACTTGGCTTTAATCATCAAAATAATACATCACACAAATCTTTTCATAAAACTCAAAGATGAGAAAACACACCTGGAGTTACATGTGCAACTGGAATCTTCCAGTTCATCTTTTTTATAGATTCAAATTAATATATTGAAGTAATTGATTTCATTATCACTTAATGAGCTTACAGTTAAAGAAACCCTAAAAACGGAGAGATGAAACATACCATCGTTGATTGGAAAATTAAAAATCCAAACAAAAAAAAACTTTAATAGGAAAATTCATCTGTTGAATGCATTAAAAACTTGGTTAACAAAGATGTTCCAACATCAAATTTTGAATGGTCTTTCCAGAATAGTAAAGATTCTTTGGTTGAATCCATTTCCCCTAAGGCTGTTTTAATAGCTTCCTCACCTGTCACCTAAAATAAAAGATTGTAAATCTTACAAAATCAATCGGCCATCATCTTCAAAAACTAATAAGAGAAAAACAATATTCTAACCAACTGGTCTTCCTTGAGGTAAAGGACCATCTTGGTTCCTCTACCAAGAGCCTCCCCAGAGGTGTCTCTGGTCACAGTGAAAGACCCACCGGCCTGAGACTCCCACACATACTGCTCATCGTCATGTGCTAGAAAGTTAAACTGCACTCAAATTGGGGAAGCAATATAAGAATTTTTTTTGTTAATAGAAATAACCATAACCATATCAATAGAAATAAACTTATTTATGCAAACGAACAAAATAAAAAAGTTACCGCTAGATTTAATTCACCAGCAAGTCTACACCTTTTTCCTTCGCCGTCTCCCACGCCGATTGTTCCACCACCATCTTCCCGTAGCAATACCAATTCTATAAGGAAGATTATTAAAAAGAAAAGTTAGAATTCCAAAAGTAACATGGTCTAGGTTTTAACTTTTAAGGTTAAAGACCTAAACCTTAATCTAGCCGCATGTTCGATTTTATTGCAGAAGCACATCTCCAAAACTTATAACATAGATAAAACCATACCTTAGTATTTTTGCAGAAATCAAGATCACTCCAGCAGTTTTCGTCAACTATGGCTTGAGGGTCACGGTTAGGGTTAATGTAAACTAAACCAATTGATGACGTGAAAACCACGGGCTTGAACTTGGCTTTAGCCGCTGCATCAATCACGAACTTGGCTCCGTTTACCGCCGGCTCCAACATTGTCTCCTAATTAGTTAGATTAATTTAGAAAATTAAAACTAAGAAAACATATGTATTATACTTATACTAATACTCCTCAACCGATTAAAAAAATTATGAACTTACGGGATCGTCGGTCATCGGAGAAGCAGTGTGAAAAACGCCATCGCAACTATCGATTTTGGCACAGAGAGCTTCGTAGTCGAAAAGCTCTTAGGCTTCCGCCATAGCCGTTCTATTACTGCTGGATAACAAAAGCTCATCTTCTTCTTCTCCCTACCTTTAGATATGTAAAGGTCTTTTCGTTAAGCAAATATAGCAGCCATTTGCAGTTGAAGAAATGTTTGCAGGGTTTATAAATGACATGTGTGTTTTTGATGATGTGATGAGACGTAAATCCATAGAGTATATATAGGTTCAGACGATTAGGTCAATATTCTCTTGGTGATCACGCAAAAAATAAGTCGCAATCTTAACTAAATATGGAATCAACCATATGTAATTGGAATGTTTTTAGGTATATGCTGAAAATGGGAGTATTAATAATAGTTATTAGTTTCCATAAAATCTAAGGTATGAATATTTTGTAGAGTATCAATTAATTGTGTAGAGATTTTTTACTAAGATTGTGCCGAGAATATTGGCAAAGATGTGTGTGTTAACGATTTATGATTTCAAAAACTGAGAAATGGTGAGATATATGGAAAGATTTACCTCGAGATTTTTAGAAACAAATTAATTTATAAATCGTTTGGAATATCTTTTCAAATAATTTATTGAATTAAAATATTTCAGCATTAAACGTTTTTCTAAAAAATGTATTTATGGTAAGTGATTAATATTCCAAAAATTTCGATTAAAATGTATTAAATTAAGTTAGTTGTTTAGAAAAATAATTAATGGAAAATCCGATCGAGATTATAGAAACAAATAATATATACCATATATTATTTAGAAAGTTTTAATTCTTTTGTTAACATCTTTAATTCTTATAAAGTTTTATATCATTTAAAATTGAATATTTGGTTTCCATATCTTTGAATATCAAATCTCGTTATCGCAAAATTAGGAATTTATTTAATTTCGAATATTTGATTTCCATATGTTAGGATCTCAAATCTCGTTTTTAAAAAAATAGGAAATGTTAGAAGAGTTTATTAATTGATTTGTAAATTTCATTAAGATAAATATTTTGTCAGATTTTATTTGTAGGGACTAATTGTATAATATTGAACTTGTAAAAGGATTTTTGAGGCCAAATCTTCACCAAAAATGTATATATACTAGAAATTAACCCGCGGTACACCGCGGGCCTATATTTTTGTTTAATAAAGATTTGAATTTTTATTTTAAGGTTTTTCTTTTACATATATGCTATTTTTTATGATTTAAATGTATATATATATATATAGATTTATATATATCTATATATTGTAGGATTAGTATATTTTAAATTTATTCTTGAAAATATAGAGATAGAGATATATAGTTCATTACGCACTCATGTATAGAGTATTAAAATATGCATTTATTTTCTTCTTTACATAATATATGAGTTTAGATTTAGTTTGTAAATTTTTATTCAGCAAATAAATATTAAAAATTCCAATATCTATATACATGTCTTTTGTGCAAATAAAATTAAAGTGTTGAATGTGTGTAATTGTGTATCCATTATAAATAAAATCGATATGAATGTTGTTATGTAACAAAAAAAACAAAAAAGCGTATTTGGAATTAATGTGTATCCATCATCACAATTACTTTGAACCCAATTGCTTTGCTACAAACAACAAAACAACTCCATTCTGTATTCACCTAGAATCTGACAGAAGTCAAGCTTCTCTTCCTCTGTGTTGCACCAACTCGGTAGCCGAGTCTGGTTAGACTCAAATAACTTCGGAGTGTACGCATCTCGGATCTGAGAATAGGAAAGAAATAAATGCTCAAGAGTGATGTTAAATGGAAAGACTTGATATCGAAAGAAGAAAAGAAACGCACCGTGAATTCAGTGACTTGAATGTGATTAGCGAGAGGGCCGAATACACCAGCGGCTTTGTACATTGCAAGGATGAAAGCAACACATGCTGTTGATTTCCCGTCACTATAAACCCATTCATCCTGTTCAGGGATGGTGAGTAATTCATCGAATGACATTCCACGCCTCGCTATTTCTTCAAGTATCCCACACAAATTTAGATCCTGTACAATAGAATTCTTAGTAGTGTATGTCCTAATCCAGTAGAAGCTGGTTTTTGTTAAGAAGAATGTATAGATATTATACCTCAGTACCGAGTCGTTTATTCTACTCGTAGATGATGCTGTAGATAAAGTGGACATTGTAACTTATTAGTTTTCACTACTATTAGTAAAACGTAGGGAAAAGAGGATAGTGAGATTAACGAAAAACGTTCAAAACATTCAAATCATTCAAATCATTAGATTTATAGTTAGGAGTAGATACCTCCTTATTTTAGGTCTTGAATCTGTAGTTAAAAACAAAGAATAGTTAGTAAGATATAGTATATCATTTGTGAATCTCATTATTTCTCACTTAATTATAAGAAACACTACAATTAAATCATTATAAGAAGAAGATTTTGTATACTTGGACATTGCTCATCAAATGAACGATCTAGGAGTGTTAATGCACATTGAGAGTCTCTTCATATCTTTCACCGATTTTTTTTCCCACATATGATAGCATGCATGTGAGAAAACACAACCTTAGTTCCACAATAATAAAAAAAATAAAAATAATTAGAAACAACTTGATACCACACGTTTCCACATGACTGTGCCAACTTATATTGAAAGGCTCATTGTCGTCAAGGTACGTGAATCCAACACGTTTGGGTTATTGAGAATTGTAGAAATGGGATGATGTATTTATAGTCAAGAAGATCGCCTTATGCAGTGTTACTTTTAGGTTAAATATGAATAAATCTATACATTATCTTTCAAGTATACAATATTTAGTTTCTGGTTTAGGAATATTCTCCCATAAATTTTGAATATCTCAAATCTTTCATTCAGTGAACATATAAAATATTTCAAATCATCATTCCTTAATTTTTGATTTGATAAAATTACGTTCCTGATTTCGTGCGGTTATAGTTAATGATTTCGATATTTTAGGAAAAAACGAAGCTTATTGTTATTCATTAGGATTTTGTTGATTATTTGTTGATTTGGTAGTTGCTTAATATATGAGATATGAATTTAAATTTCGAATATTTATTTTATTAGATATCGAGTAATTATGGTAATTACCTAAAATCAGGGCGTATATTAACTTCCGATTTCAATATATATTATTGATTTCGTCATATACTCAACCATTTATGTTCTTATTTGTTTTTATTTTGCAGATTTTTAATTGAAGATCCAATTGCCATAAAATATGGGTAATTTAAGAGTTAATGTCGTTTTTTATTTAAGATTTCCTTAACGAATTTTCTTAGCTTAGATTGTGTAAAGATTCGAAATCAATTAGAGATAAAAAGGAATAGAGCCGATTAATATGGCAATTAGTTTAGGTAATAACATTAAACCAAATTATAAGAGCAATTATACTCAAAATATTTGTTTGTTTTTATTACAACATTCCTAAAATTTCTTATTCAAGATCCGGATAGAGTTAAACCCGGGTAAAACCGGATCCAAATGAATTTATGCAAAAAAAACCCTGTAAAAATGTATATGTAGATAGATAGTATTTCTCTACCACGAAAATTAAACTTTAAATAGTATTTGAAAAAAAACGTTAAAATAATTTCTTATGCAAAGCGTTTTGCTGGCAAAAGAATTAATTTGAGTTGTTGCTAATTTAGCCCACCAATACTTTTATTTAGCCCATTTGTATTTGCTATCATGGTATGATTTTAGAAAACGTTATTAGCTGATGTGGATCAGTGAATGGCTAGTGTTAACCAAAAAAATAAGAAAAGATTAGTTGATCCTATTGGTTAACCATACTTTTAGACACTAAACTCTCCTTTGACCAACACCATAAATAGTTTGTTTGATAAATTAAGGTAAAATGTTTTCTACAAAACAAAGTATAAATATTCTACATTGATTCCTTTATTACTCCAAAAACTATCTTTATTTCAACAACAACAATATTCTACATTGCTATGTTTTTTTGGTTGAATGAAGCTTGCAGGTATAATCGTATAGAAATTCAAAACCACCTTCCTCCTGGAACAATTCTACAAGTTCACTGTCGTTCCAAGAATCCAAACGGTGATGTAGGAGTAAAACAATTAAAAGATGCTATTGTCCCAATTATCATGGAATTCCAGGATAAATCCATCGATCACAAAAAGAGAGCATGGATGTGTCGTTTATCGTATATATCTAAAAAATATAAACTAGAATATTATTATGATATTCAAGTATATAGAGCAGCTACTTTTCGTCGATGTGGGGAGCTACGTCGATGGATTGCATATAAAGATGGGATTTACTTTACCAAACATCACGATAAACCACCAGGATTTGTACTTCCATGGATGGTAAGAGACCCTAATAACCCTCCTAAATGATAAAACATTATAGGCTATCAGCCGCTTCTTTGTAGAACTAATCTTAATTTAAGTTCTCTTTGTATTTCATGTCATATGAACTAAGTCATAAGAACCATAACACCGTTCTAATTTTGTGTTAGAGCATTGTAATAAAATTATGAGTTCATCTCATATCTACATATATATTTAATACTTTAAAGTAGCCTTAAACAATCATCATAAACCGTTTAAACCAATCTGACCGAACTAATAATATTGGTTTTTGGCTTCAATTCGGTTCAGAGTTATAAACCGATCGACGAAGTTCTAAACTAATTTTGGTTCTCTGTTATTTTTGGTTCGATACATCAAAACTGATCATTTTTATTAGTTTAGCGAACACCATATAAAAGTAAAAAACCCTAGATTTCTAATCATACCTCTCTTGTTTTCAGTCTCTTCTCCGCAGTCCGAGATCCTCCTTCTTCGTTCTTTTCTTATCTTCTTCTTCACCACCTCTTTTTTTTTAATCATCTTATTCTCTTTCACGACATGGTTGGCGAAAACCCTAAATTTTGACGAGTTTGAGTTTGTTATTTAAGTTGGGTTTGTATTTTATTGGGAGTAACCCATTATTTTATTGATTTGTATCGTAAATTTGTTAGATTAGCCCCATTATCTTCACTTTCATTTTTGTCTAATTCGATTTGAATTAACCGAATTATCAAAAATTCTGTTTATTTCAGAATTGATTTTAAATCCTATTACTGAACAGAAAAAAAATAAGTTTCAAACCGAACCAAACCAAATAAAAGTTCAGAAATTCAAAAAACCTGAAAACAAAAAAATCGAACCTATTTAATTGATTAACCGAGTGCCCATTGTTACTCTAAAGAACAACATGACATCATATTAAGATCATTTATATAGAGGCTTAGACCATCTTCATATTCACTTCCCAAACTTTATTTTGGGGTAAGAGTTCTTCAACCTATCTCCATTTTCAACTACAAAATAGAGAATTTTTTTTTTTCTATATTTGAAGTTCTCTATTTTTAATTTACACTTAAATTTAGAAATCTCTATTTTAGGGGTCGGAGAAAAATTCAACTCCAAAATGGAGTTACTCAAATTTAAGGAAAAAATGGACGAATCTTACATTTCTTTAACAAAAAAAAAAAAAAAGAAAAAAAGAAAAAATGGACATCTCTAAAAGCATCTCAAACTCATTTTTATATTTTGGAGTTGGATTTTCCTCCAATCCATTTCTCCGTTTTTTTATTCTAAAAATAATATTTTAGATATATTTTTCATATTTAGTTACTAATATTTGTAATGAGCATCTATTTATTAAAATTATAAACTCAACGCAATTATTTTATTTTAAACGATAAGCAACAAATAACATATTATTTTTATTTAAAACTTCTTATATAGAAATTACATTACACAATATTAATAAATAATTAAAAACATAGAAAATATGTCTTCGTTCTCTTTAAATTTAGATGATGGTTAATATATTATTCGTAAATCTCCATCTCTACGGTCAATTAAGGTGAAAAAATCCAAAATGAAAAGAAAAAGTGATGATCTAATTATTTGTTATCAACACTTTTTAAGGGTGTCTTTTTTCTAAATTGCTCAATTTAGTTGTTTATTTTCAAAAACACCTCTCTTTAAATCGGAACATTTAATAAGGTTTTATAAAGTACTTAATAATGGTAACTACTATTCGTGTAAATGTAGTTTGTGTATGTTTTTATAACGTTACACACGTATTTGAGTAGATCTCAGATTTTTAGAGGTATTTTTTATAAGGTGTTATAGATAGGACATTTTTAAAAGATGCATTTAGAAGAAGGCATTTTGTAATAATTCCCCTTAAAAAAGGGTATACACAAGTTTTGGAAAAATTAAAGAAGACAAATACCCAAAGAAAACATCACTTAGAGCTTGAAAATAAAATCAAATCATTGAAAGTACTTAGGGAATAGAACAAGATACTATTTCTAGACTTGAATTCGATACGAGATCCGAATATTTGCACATATATGCAAACTAAACAAACACAAATTTTGCAAAAATCCAAACAATAGATCAAGTTTGCGACTTTACAAGAAACAAATTCTTTAAAAACCCAAACATCTCGCATAGATCCCATCCACCCTTCTAAATATGTCGTCTTTTCTCTCCGGAATCTCACTGGAAAAACATTCATCAAATACCAAAATATTTTGAAAAATCATTTTTAGTTTAATGTTTTATATAAACTTGATTTATATGAAAATTAAAAATATACCAAATCTGTATAAATTATTAAATTAATAGCCTCTTTACTAATTTGCTGAAAATCAAAGATATTTTTCTTTAAGTACCTCTCATATTTTGAAAAAAACCAAAATTTATTTGCATTACTAGGTTCTGAACCGACGCTATGCGTGGGTCTATTTTTAAATTTGTTTTAATAAAATTTTGTGTGATTAGTAATATTTATTAAACTCTTTGAATATATGTTTTTATATTTCTACTTATTGTTATTGTTAATAGTTCAAATTCTTTGAATTTTAAAATTACCATGACAAATAGTTCAATTAAAATATACAACTTAAAAAAATTCTAATACAACATTTAGGTTTTTACAACATTTATCAAAAGTATATCTTTTTTGTTTAATAGCTCGCTCTCTTTAGCTTTAGATATTTGGATGACAAGATTTTTCATGAAATAAATAAATTTTTTATGGGTCTAACTTCGACGAATTTCTCATTTTTGTAATTGCAATTTCACTATTGTATTTCGTCTATATTCACTTTATTAATTTGTATAGCTCTTCTAAATATTAGATCCTTACAAAAGTTTACTCATAAGCTTATGATAAGTATAAGATCAGATCCTTACAAAAGTATATTTACTTCATTAGTTAGAAATACTAAAGTATACTAACTTAGTATAGCTCTTCTAAATATAAGATCCTTACTAAAGGATATTTTCTGCATTAGTTAGTATAGCATTTTTTTTTTAAAATCAGGGAAGACAATAGACGGGTCTAAACGGGCTTTTATAAATTTGGCGGGCTTAAACGGGTATGAACCTAAACGGGCTTTAATTTTTTTGTTAAACGGGTTCGGGCCTAAACAGACCGGGTAGCCCGTTTTAACATTACTAAGCTAGCTTATCTATACTTTCTTGTTAAC